AAAGCTACACGAGGGCTATCTGCGCTAGCCGTCCCAATTTAGCAGTGTAAGACTAGAGGGAAGGCAGCTAGTTATCACCACCCACCAAAGCTACACGAGGGCTATCTGCGCTAGCCGTCCCAATTTAGCAGTGTAAGACTAGAGGGAAGGCAGCTAGTCATCACCACCCACCGCCAACTCTTGGGCTACTCTTTTTACCAACGAATAGTGGGATTGATCGTCACATTATAACGCCCCCACGGCTGAAAGGGCGAGCATGTGTTACGTTTCCCTTTGTTAATTAATTTTCCGTAACTTAGTTCGGACGAAACTTTAGTGACACAAGTCCTTTCTTAAATAAAACTGGTTTATTCTTTCTGAATATAACTTTACCGATACACTCAACTTCAACAGTTGCGCTATAACAAACTATAATTCACGTATCACGAGCTAAACTTCAACAATACGTCTCTCTCTCTGACTGCAGTTCAATTACTCATTACCTACACACACATTATTGTCCCGTCACGTTGTCACCCTCTTATATATACCAGAGTACCCTATATCTAGTCATCTCCCTACAATTCACGAAGGTACAAGATATTTCCAGAAAGCAGGGGGCGTGACACCAGTCACGTGACCTCGCTGACGCAACACACGTTTGGTGGGGCGGGGATTTTAGAGTAAGGTATGTTACGTCTCTGGTCGTTAGTTAATTTCCTGTATAATTTCTTTCCGATGAAACTTTAGCTACACAAGTCCTTTCTTAAATAAAACTAGTTTATTCTTTCTCAATACAACTTTGAAATTCACCTAATTTCCACGGTCGCGCTATAAGTTAAACAAACGCTATAATTCACAACGAACGACTCACGCGCTCGACCCAACTGTCCGTCTCTCTATCTCTGTCTGAAATTCAACTACATTGTTGCCGACTTTTCTTGGCGGTCTTATATACAAGAATACCGCATATCTAGTAAACACTCGAGGCTTCAGGAAGGGACATGAACGTTCTAGAAGCTCATGACGTGTTACCAGCGTCATGTGACTCCCACTGTCGTAACACTGCCCCTTCCTTAGTATTGTTCATCCCAAACAATAGCCACTTACATTAAACCAATAAACAATTAACAATAACTTAATTAAATGTACATAATTTACAAACACAACATTAAAATTCAACAAAGTCTC